GGGAACCTAATCTTTCACCCTTTCAAGATTCGAAATTGGGTACAAAAAATAATAGTGTGTGACGTAGTTGTAAGCATCAAGCAGCTTCTTTTTTCTCGTGGTTGAATCACTTCCAATAATGAGGAATCAAGTACTGTTTCTCTTCCCCCAGGAAGTTCCCCAGTTCACATGCCTTCCAGCCCTTTCCCTTTTATTGTTTATGGCTCCAATTATTAATCTTTCATCTTATAGCTTCATTAAATTTTATATCTATCACCATCTATAATAATTAGCATAGAGCCAGATGTACCCATGTGGTGGCCATAGAATGGGACACAATTGCTTTATCAAAGGGAATGGGGTTTGGTAGGTGCAGACAATCATTGTCACATAACACATTCCCTACTAAAATACACTTCTCTACCTTCTTTACACACTCCACACCACAAACTTCCAAACTCTCTTCTTTCCGCCCTGGTTTTGCATACTCAATACCTACTTTGGAAGTGCTTAATCATACAATTTGGCATAATAAAGCAACATGATTCTTAATTACTTGCACTTCTGGTATGTGTGACCACTTATGCTAAGTGGTGAAAATATACTAAAATTCAACTCCAAAATCCGATGTCTTAAGTTCAAATCCTACGTTATTGTGAGTAGGTGATTCAACACCAGACGCTATATAGCTACCTTAGTTATATAGATCGTTTACCTAGGTACAGAATGAGACCCCAGGTCCAATGTTTGATTAAAAGCAAAAGTGGTGGTGTTACCATTAAAATAAAGAAGACTTGGATGAGTTAAACTACTCGCTTGGGTTGACATTATAAGCAATTCTGGAACACATTCTGTGCATGTTATGATGTCTAGGGGATTTCAAATGAGTCCAAAGATTGACAGTGATCAGTTGCACATGATTAGGTGGTTCAGATCCCAAGTACCCACGTATATCCAATAAAATAATTGCCTTTTGGCTTATCATTTATCTGTCACTCATTAGATTAACTATAAACTAATTTGTCTCTCAGAACTTCCTTCTCCTTCCCTTCGCTCCTTGTTCCCTGCTATGCAAAATGCAACAAGATTAAGAGGATCCAACACCAAGAGAGCAACCACCAAAATGCAAACCCACCTGCTGTTCTTCTGTTGTTACATTGGCCTCTCACTGGCTTTTACTGAAGCTGCAGCAGATGGTGAACTGTCAAGTCTTCTCTCAATCAAAGCCACTCTCATTGACCCAATGAGGCATCTGAAGGATTGGCAAATTCCAAGCAATGTGACACAATCAGGATCACCCCATTGTAACTGGACTGGAGTTGGTTGCAACTTTAAAGGCTATGTAGAGAGTCTTGACCTCTCCAACATGAACCTCAGCGGTCGTGTTTCGGACCACGTTCAATCTCTTTCAAGTCTGTCTTATTTCAACATAAGCTGTAACAACTTTGCTTCATCACTGCCCAAGTCACTGTCCAACCTCACCTCTCTCGAGAACTTTGATGTGAGCCAGAACTACTTCACTGGCAGCTTCCCCACTGGTCTTGGAAGAGCTGCAGGCTTGAGATTAATCAATGCATCGAGCAATGATTTTTCAGGTTTTCTTCCTGAGGATATTGGAAATGCAACCATGCTTGAGAGCCTTGATTTTCGAGGGAGCTACTTCGTGAGTCCAATCCCCAAGAGCTTTAAGAATTTGCAGAAACTCAAATTTCTGGGCCTTTCAGGCAATAACTTCACGGGGAGGATTCCAGGATATCTCGGTGATCTAACTTCTCTGGAGACATTGATTATCGGATACAATTTATTTGAAGGTGAGATCCCTGCAGAGTTTGGGAACCTGATCACTCTTCAATACCTTGACTTGGCTGTAGGAAGTCTCAGTGGACAAATTCCAGCTGAATTGGGTAAGCTGACAAAACTCAACACAATTTACTTGTACCATAACAACTTCACAGGAAAAATTCCTCCTGAACTTGGAGACGTAACTTCACTGGCATTTTTGGACCTCTCTGACAATCAGATCTCCGGAGAGATTCCGGAAGAACTTGCTAAATTGGAAAACCTGAAGCTCTTAAACCTGATGACGAACAAACTAACTGGACGAGTACCAGAGAAGCTTGGTGAATTGAAAAATTTACAGGTGCTTGAGCTCTGGAAAAATTCCTTACATGGTCCTTTGCCACCATACCTTGGGCAGAACTCTCCTTTACAGTGGTTGGATGTATCCTCTAACGCACTATCTGGGGATATCCCTCCAGGTTTGTGTACAACTGGAAATCTCACTAAATTAATCCTCTTCAATAATTCCTTCACTGGCTCCATTCCAAGTGGACTTGCGAACTGTTTGTCTTTGGTACGTGTTCGGATTCAGAACAATCTTATTTCTGGAACTATTCCAGTTGGCTTTGGAAACCTCCTTGGCCTTCAACGGCTAGAATTCGCAAAGAACAACCTCACTGGGAAAATTCCCTCTGATATTACCTCATCCACATCGCTCTCTTTCATTGATGTATCTTGGAACAACTTTGAGTCATCTCTTCCGTCAGATATTCTTTCTATTCCAACCCTTCAAACCTTCATTGCCTCTCATAACAATTTTGGAGGAGATATCCCAGATGAGTTCCAGGACTGTCCATCTCTCTCTGTATTGGACCTTTCAAACACTCATATTTCTGGCACAATCCCTGAAAGTATTGCTTCTTGTCAAAAATTAGTCAACCTTAACCTTCGAAATAACCACATGACAGGAAAAATCCCAAAATCAATCACAAGCATGCCCACTTTATCTGTTCTTGATCTTTCCAACAACTCATTGACCGGTAGGATTCCTGACAACATTGGCAATTGCCCTGCTCTGGAATTGCTGAACTTGTCCTATAACAAACTTGAGGGTCCAGTACCCTCAAATGGGATGCTGGTGACCATAAATCCTAACGATCTTATTGGCAATGAAGGTCTTTGTGGAGGCATTCTCCCTCCATGTTCTCCAAGTATGGCTGTGACAAGCCATCGAAGGAGCTCGCATGTCAGACACATCATAATAGGTTTTGTGGCTGGCATTTCAGTGATTTTAGCTTTTGGTGCAGCATATTTTGGTGGTAGATGTTTGTACAATAGATGGCACTTATATAACAACTTCTTCTATGATTGGTTCAAACAGAACAATGAAGATTGGCCCTGGAGACTAGTAGCATTCCAGAGGATCAGCTTCACTAGTAGTGAGATTCTGACTTGCATGAAGGAATCAAATGTTATAGGAATGGGGAGCACTGGTATCGTTTACAAAGCTGAAATCCATAGACCTCACGTAACCGTAGCAGTGAAGAAATTGTGGAGGTCACGAACAGACATAGAAGATGGAAATGATGTGTTGAGAGAAGTGGAACTCCTAGGGAGACTTAGGCACAGGAATATAGTAAGGCTGTTGGGGTATGTACACAACGAAAGAAATGTGATGATGGTTTACGAATACATGCCTAACGGGAATCTTGGAACAGCACTACATGGTGAAGAATCTGCGAGGTTGCTTGTTGACTGGGTCTCAAGGTACAACATAGCTCTAGGAGTTGCACAAGGGCTTAACTACCTCCATCATGATTGCCACCCACCAGTTATTCACAGGGATATCAAGTCTAACAACATACTCCTTGACGCAAATTTAGAGGCGAGAATAGCAGACTTCGGGTTGGCAAGGATGATGATTCAAAAGAACGAGACAGTTTCCATGGTGGCTGGATCATATGGATACATCGCACCAGGTTAGTACTTAGCTCTTCTTATCTGATCTAGCGTGGCAGTTTATGCCCTGATTTCTGTTTTCGTAACTTCTATCTCAAACAAGTGAAAGTGAGAGACAATAGATGATTAACTTAATGATTGGGTTATGGTTTTAGAATATGGATACACTCTGAAGGTTGACGAGAAGATTGACATATACAGCTATGGGGTGGTGCTTTTGGAACTTCTAACTGGCAAAATGCCTTTAGACCCTTCGTTTGAAGAATCTATTGACATAGTCGAATGGATACGGAAGAAGAAAAGCAACAAATCCTTGTTAGAAGCACTGGATCCTGCCATAGCTAGTCAATGCAAACATGTCCAAGAAGAAATGTTGCTTGTACTCCGGATTGCACTTCTATGTACCGCAAAGCTTCCCAAGGAAAGACCACACATGAGAGACATCATCACAATGCTTGGTGAGGCAAAGCCAAGAAGGAAAAGTGTTTGCCATAATGGGGGTCAAGAAAGCAGTAGCATGGAAAAGTCCATTGTCCTTACCACCTCCCCTGCTATAAGTCTTTTGTAGCAACAAGTTTTTTACTAATGAGAAATATATTTTGAATTTTGTAGCCTGTGAACTTTTTATGTATGCTTTGCCTGCGTCGACCAAATTTCTATCATATAGTAAATACATATATTTTCGGTAAGATATTGATTCGTTTACTCCTGTTCAATTGAGGAAGGAAGGGCGACGATTTCAGAATCGCAATCAGATTATCAACAGCATAGTAAAATGTGCTTAAAGTCTGTATACTGTGAGTCGTCGACTCTGACACCATTTTAATTACAGTTCACCATCTCATCAAAGACATGTATAGCATTTGCAAACTTTTTCTGGCCATTTTCCCCTATTAACTTTCATTATTGTCTTAATGCACGCCGATCGTTTATCAACTCCAAATTCTTTCACTGGTTCTTTCCAGTTATGCCTTCATTTTCACTAGTTCAGCAGTCGTATGGTAAATTAAGGAAGAACTTCAGTGCCCATAATGTCAATGTCGCAGCTTGACAAGTTAGAAACTATTCCGTAAAATTTATGCTGCACTCAAATTGTCTCTAAATAAAAAAAGTGACAAATGATCTACTTTGTTTTCCACAATTATTAATGTGTCATCATAGATATTTCGAGTTAATCCAAGCAATTTGAAAGAAAATACAATCACAACCAGTACACGTTTCAGTTCTGCTGATTCGTTCTAGTATTCAAAGCAATAAAGAAATGTTAATCAAGCAGAAGTGTATTGGATAGGAAGTCCAATAACTTTAAAATAAACAATTAATGTTACAATGGTAACGAAAAAAATATTGTGATCCAGTTGACATCAAGAAAAGAAGGCCGAGAAGGAAAACTGTTATCTCTTCTCATTCAGACGAACATAGGCATGATATTAGTGTATTTTGTATCCTAAACTGTACACATTTATCGAAGTACAAAATGACAGATTGCCCTCCAAAAACATCAGTCATAAAAAGAACAGTAGCCGCACCTCAAATTGTTCCGTACCCTACAGTATCCCACTAATCTAGGATGCTAGTAGAGCACTTCCTGGTGCATTTCCTCTTTCAAGTAAGCTGACAGATGTTGGCTGGAAAACATTGATGGAAACAATAGTGAGATTAGTCCATTGCTAGATGAACACAGCAATTCGGATATTGACTAAATTATACATGTAATACCACTCTTTAGAAATAATATTACATGATGCAAACAAAAACAAAAATTAAAGCCCCCTTGTACTGTGGATGTTGGTTTGAAACTCAAGTTGACATGAATTTCAATCCATAAGACTACAATACATCCGAAGAACCAGAGGCTAAAGCTACTCATTACCAATAAAAGCAAAACCTTTACAACGTTAATATTGGCTCCCTTTCGTATAAAGTGACTTGCAGGGGTAAAAACCACTGCAGTAAGGTTGCCAGAATAGTAGGAAGATCAAGAGTATTCGGAATAAAGTTCTCCAAAATGAGTTTTGACGTTTTATTCGTATCCTCTGTAAGAATAATATTTTTCAACTTAAGAGATAATAATATATACATCACTAACTCGGATTTCACCAAGCGTAAATGGCTCTTTCTCCCTGATTACACCATTATCTTTTGTAATTCTTTCTAAGTCCTGCTAGAGGGAAGATTAAAAGTGTTATGAACAATTCAGAAATACCTTCCATCATGTCCAACATGAAATATAAAGTGAACTCGTTGCATAGGCACTTCAATACAAAACTGGAATTTTTTATCTGATGTCACTTCCACTTTCAGTATTTCATGCACAACACAACATAATAGATACTAAATGAAGATATGCACACAAATTTTAACGATAACCACAAAAATGGAACGAAGTGAGTTCATTAAACAAAAATTTTAATACCTTCTTTACTAAATGAAAAGAATATCTCCAATGAGTATCATAGGTTGGTAACACTCCCACCAAATATAAAAAATTACATTTAGCAAAAATAAATAAATGCAAGCTTAAAACCACATTAATAGATTTTAAAAGGGGTAAGAGAATGCAAAAAAACACATAAGATGAATTTAGGCTTTCAGATGGGTATCTATCCTAAATTCACAAAAATTGACCTTCATAGAAATCAGAATGAATCACAGTTTGCGGTAAAAGATTCAGCCACTGTATTCTGTGTATTTGGAAGATAGTGATGCCTAACGTGAGTTTTACATTGTATTCTCTGCATTTGGAATGACATACTGAATTTACAACAAAAAAAAAGTGCACTTTAATCAAAATTTAGAAAATATATAGTCAGGTTAGTTTAGGTATTAAAAGACACTGTATGATAGGCAAGTAGACAAAATACTAGATAGAGCATCTCAAACACTGTATTACCTTCCCAGTCAAAATTTCAAACTCAAGCAACTCCTCCACTATCTTTTCTAGTACTGGGCGATTTTTCAGCAGCATTTCTCTTGCTTTGAGATATGCCAAATCAAACATCTAGGAACATCACAAAAGATTATATTAGATATTTTTTTATATAAGTTAAACTTCTGCTAATGCATGATACCTTTTCAACTTTAGCTGCCATCACATATTCATGGTCATCCCCCATACTTAATGCCGTGACCTATGCCAGTAGAAAAACATAAGAAATAGTCTATAATATACTAATATTAAAAACCGAGGTCAATAAACATGTAATCCTTTGCTACGCAGCTACTGAAATCTTCCATTTGTTCATTTGATCAAAGCCCCTCAAGCAATACATTTGTTTATCAGATTCAAAGGGCAATGCTCTCCATTCATGAGAGGAACAGATTATCAAATCACAACCTCCACCAGGATTCTTAAAATACCAGTTCGCAGATAATTGTTAAATATGTCTTTGAGGGAACCGGTTGACACTGGAATAAATTATGAAAAATGTGTACCATCTTACACCAAATTATGGAAAATATAGTAGAACCATTGAGTTATAATGGGCTATCATTATTCATGACCATCTTACACCAAATTATGGAAAATATAAATGAAAACAAAGAGTGTGCAATTTGAAAAGACGACTTGATGGCACATGAAAAATATAGGATTAATATAAGAAATTTGTTGGGCAATTAATGCATGATATATACTATAAATCGGCTTATAAGTTTAACTCAACCCTACAAAACTGATTTATAATGTAAAGTTTACCCCTACTTATATACTCTAAATTAGTCTTATCTCTAATCAATGTGAGACTTCCAACACACCTCCCTCAAGCCGAGGTATATATATCTCGTGCAAGGAACTAGACATTAATGGATAGTCCGATAGCAGCCCGATAGGGGGTGGAATGATATGTCCAACAAATAACAAATCTCACTAGAGTAAGTTCTAACAATAGCTCTGATACCATATTAAAAAATGAACTTTAATTCTAACTCGATCCCACAAAACAGGCTTGAGGTTTTGCACCCACCTATATACTATAAATTGGTCCTATCTCTAGTTGATGTAAGACTTCCAACAAATTCAATTATACTTCTATTATATGAAGAAAATTACTCTCATTTAATTGATACCAATAACAAAGAACACAACTTATACATATGGAGATATTTCAAATCTGCTATAAATAAGGAAAATAAATCACATTAACTGGAAACAAAGTAACAGAGAGATATTTCAAAAATATAAATAATCTGATTCAGATATTCCCCACAACTTGACCATACAAATCAGGACAGGTATAACTTTCCTAATTTACTCATAGATCCATAATTTATTTTGAATTATAAAATCCTAATGTTCGTAATTGATCCACATTCTATATCTCAGATTCAACATCTCATAGCTCTTTTGGGAGATTATCTATCCAACATTACGTTAATTTTCCCCATTTATACAGCCGGGCAGTACTTGCTCTATTAGCAGATCAATAATTATTTTCATTAAAGATATAATAATCTTCTTAACCATACTTAATATTATTGATGCTGTTGAGAAAGAAAGGAGGACATATCAATGACCATATTGAATATTATTAACCCCATTTGAGAAAGAAAGATATATTAATGGTGTGCTATGTTAAAACTAAGCTTCAAGCCACACCTACAAAATAATTCAATCCAACTTTTCAACGATCACACAATCAACATCAAGAAAGAAAAATTAATTCAACAATAGTAGTTGAAATGCACATAAGAAAGGTCTATACCGCATTACTGTGGTAGTAAATTGCAGGACTGTCGTCGGGTCCCCACCCATACTGAATGACCATTCGAGTAGCTATCTGTTGTAAAGAAAAGAATGGTCAGAGTTTATACTCACATCCTTTCGTTAATATTATCATTTTCCCAGAAATTAAAATATAAAAAATAATGGGATATTTTAGCTGACTGAATTAAGTCAAATATAAACCAACCTCTTGCGCCTGCTGTATCTCAGAAATAGAAAGTAAGTTTTCTTCCCCAAAAGGAAGTAACATTTGGGATGCAACATAAGAACCAAAACAAAATACAAGCTTCTTTTCGAGATATGATCTTGATTCTGAGTTCCCATTGATGGAGCCCTCATTTCTTGCTTTTGTAATTTTTGTACATCCAATTCCCTGTATAATTGTCAATAATCTATCATTAAACAAATATATATGACAAGTCAGTTTTTTTAGTAATAAAATAAGTCAGCTAATTTTCCTCTATTGGCCTTTCCTAACAGAATTGTAACTACAACAATGACTAGGAAGCAAGTTCGAAAAATACAAGCTACCAAGAGTTGGCTTCATATTCATCAAAAATCAGGTTACTGCAGTCTTGACTGTGTTGGTATACAGCAACAGATGGCAGGCTAGACAAGCCAAAGTAAACATACTAGGCCCGAGTCAAGAAACCATATTTTACATTTGAAACACACATATACACATTAGAAATGTTATAGAAGCATAAGTGGAATGGAGAAAAACGTAGAATTTGAGAGAAACTCTCTTTGGGAATCTTTAAATTTAAAGGTCAGTATAGGAATCCATAAGCCAACTCTTTATCAGAAATACTTAACTTCTTTAAAATTCTACCTAGAAATTCAGTCTTCCAAAATCAATCATATTTACTTTCAAAGCATTGTTCAGTCAAGGAATGCTACTAAACATTCTTTATACATTCTTATTATTGTGTGAAATCCATGCAGCCCCTCTAAAAAAATAATAAAATAGAGGGTGGCTCAAGATTAGAACACCTCAGATGAATTTTACCCAATAATCAGTGTGTTTGGCAGTAGTTCTCTAGGCTGGTTGTCCAGATTATACACATATAATGTAAAACTCATGGCCTTGTATACATCCAGTCGTATTACATGGCAAATAACAGAAGCCAACATTAGATAACTAGAAAGCCTTGCTACAACAGCAGTTGAAATGGCCTTTGAAACCCAGATTAGAAAGTTTGATAACTAAAAAGCATTGCTATGATATTGACAGGTAATATATACCAGTCTAATAAGTGAGACTAACCTGCCATGATTGAGGTTCAAGCCAAAGATTATCAACAACATCAAAATTGGGTAATAAAAGAGCAGTGAGACCACGACCAGCTGCCCAGACAGCATGTGGAAACTTCGTTTCCCTTGTCCACTGAACAACAAAGAAACATCATTTTAGATATATTTGTAGCAAGTCAATTATTTTTCATCTTCTAAAATAGAGAAAAACTCAGACTGCAACTACTTGTAAATAAGTGGAAGAAGAAACTCGGTGATAATACAAATGAAAATATGTACAAGGCAAAGCCTTGCTTTGACATCATAATAGCCATTATGTGGAGATGACAGTTTCGTACATCAAGTGGAGGGCTCAAAAACTCTATCCCATTGCTTATTTGGCCATATGGTTCCATCAAATCAACAACATTCTGCAGATCTTGTTTTGTCAATGTCAGTCCAAGATGATTCACCATCGCTTTGCTAAACTTATTGAAAACTTTGGTCTTCCGCAACCATGAGGGAACCATAGAGCTGAAAGTCTAAGAAAAAATAATAAATATATTTCACTTCATACAGGAAAAACTATCACACACTATGACTATAAAAAGAAAGTGATCAATATGGAGTGATGCAATAATGTTTTCAATTTGCTTGTTCATTTTATCTCTTGATAAAATGAACTATATGAAAATTTGCAACAAAGAAAGAGACAATAACACGTCAAATGAATTGTATTATTCATTATCTTATTATTGCTATTATTAAGTTTGAATTCAGTATCATAAAAGCAGATCACACACCTCTGTATCTGTAGTATTTTTAGAAAAACTATAAACAAATGTGATTGCAAAATTGATAATCAAAAACTAATTAGGGATGATACAGATAATGTTAGGTTTCTGGATATGAGACCTAACTGTCTCACAGCACACACTCACACAATTGCACCCAAATGGTAAGAAAAGAATGAATGTATGTATTCACATCAACAAATGTCATGTACAAACCAGTAACCGGGAGCCTAACCCCCCTCCACAGGCCAATGTCCTGTCTTTACTCAAAGAATACAAAAACTCAATAATCCCCATGTACAGACACACCCACTATTTATAAAGTCTCCCTTCCACTTCCCATTGACTAACTCACTGTCACACAACTCTTCCCTCCCAACTGTCCTCTCATTTTCTCTTCCTTCTATCCTAAATCCATTATTTCCTATTACCTTATATCCTATCATTATTTGTTAGGTTTCTGGATATGAAACCTAACTGTCTCACAGCACACACTCACACAACTACACCCAAATGGTGAGAAAAGAATGAACGTATGTATTCACATCAACAAATGTCATGTACAACCAGTAACCGGGAGCCTAACCCCCCTCCACAGGCCAATGTCATGTCTTTACTCAAAGAATACAAAAACTCAATAATCCCCATGTACAGACACACCCACTATTTATAAAGTCTCCCTTCCACTTCCCACTGACTAACCCACTATCACACAACTCTTCCCTCCCAACTGTCCTCTCATTTCCTCTTCCTTTTATCTTAAACCCATTATTTCCTATTACCTTATATCCTATCGTTACACCCTGCTGCAAAACAACCTTGTCCTCAAGGTTGGAACCGTGAAACTTGATCTTCGGGCTCTTCTTCATCATCGTGTTATCATATGAAGGGTACCCACTGGCTGCTGCCCTCACATTCAGGTCTGGAGGTTTCGGTGGTGGCAAATCCTCCTCCAATGTCTTCCATTCTTCTTGGATTCTATTAACGTCGAGCATTCTAGTCACCACTTTTCTAGAATCATAAGCCCTGAGAAAATGGTCTTTGACGTCTTTCAGTGCTTCAAGCAGCTCTCTCCCTTCTGCAGGTGTATCACGAACTGCAAGCCCCCTTTGCTCCCCTTGACTCTCGGTGGCCACATCCACCACCTTTACTGTTTCAACACCACTAATCGCTTGCAACGCAACACCTTCACTATTACTTTTATTATTATTATTTTTCTCTTCAACACTCACCACGTTGTGCTCAACCTCTTCTCTTTTCACCCACGAAAAAACTGATTTTTTCTCGCCCTTCCCCGCTCCATTATTGTGAATGGCATTCGCTTCTCTTCTTTGCTCCCATTGATCCAGCACTCCTCTCCTAAGGATATTCGTTAGTTCTCTCCCGTTCGAATCTAGCAGTCCTCGCCCGTTCGGTTTCAGCCGTCCTCTCACGTCCAGATCCGGCAGTCCTCTCTCGTTCGATTCCGGCTATCCGCTCACGTTTGGATCCGGCTATCCTCTTCCGCACAGATCTGGCAATCCTCTCCCGTTCGAATACGACTTTCCTCTCCCATTTGGATCTGGTAGTCCTCTCCCGTTTGGATCTTGTAGTCCTCTCCCGTTCGGTTCCTGGACGTATTCTTCTGCGGTCTCCGACTGCTTAATGGCCGTCATCCTTTCAAAGGTTGTACCCCTGTTCCTTCCTCCAAATCGCACCACCATAGCTTCCTTCAGTCCTTCCCAAGAACGATTCTTGGCTTTAGCCTTCCAGGCCTGGATCCAATACCTAGCACTTCCCTCCATGCTAATATATGCCAGGCGCACTTTTTCTTCCTCTATCACCCCTTTGGTCTCAAACTTTCTCCGCCCTATTAATCCACCCCATAGGAGCAAACCCTTCGATAGTGGGTAGTTCTACCTTTTTTACCCAATTAGGTTGGGCATCTCCTCGGTCTTCATCCAGTTCCTCCTTAGAGCTCTCTCTTCTCCTTCTCCGATTCTCGTTAACATAATGTTGATCTTCATCTACAAACCCTGGACTGCCTTCCAATCCTTTTTCCTGGTTCCACACCCTTCCTCTAAAACCTCGCAAGAGTTCCCTGGTTTCTTGCCGCATTTCTTGCATATTTCTTCTCCATTCCGCCATGCTCATTTTTGGTTCTGTCCTGCTCATTTTCCGTTCATTGGTCCTCCTCTCCAAGGTATTGTCTCTTCCTTCTATGCTTCCACCCTTTCTTGATCACTTCTTGATCGCTTCTTGATTCGGCACTCCTCTCCTAAGAAAACCGGCAGCGCTCCCTTGATGATCATCAACACTCTCTTGATGATTCGACAACGCTCTCTTGATGATCCGGCAACACTCTCTTGATGATCCGGCAGCACTCTCTTGATGATCCGGCAGCGCTCTCTTGATGATCCGACGGGTCGGACCAATTAGTTAGGTTTCTGGATATGAAACCTAACTCTCTCATAGCACACACTCACACAATTGCACCCAAATGGTAAAAAAAGAATGAATGTATGTATTCACATCAACAAATGTCATGTACAACCAGTAACCGGGAGTTTAACCCCCCCTCCACAGGCTAATGACCTGTCTTTCCTCAAAGAATACAAAAACTCAATAATCCCCCTATACAGACACACCCACTATTTATAAAGTCTCCCTTCCACTTCCCACTGACTAACCCACTGTCACACAACTCTTCCCTCCCAACCATCCTCTCATTTCCTCTTCCTTCTATCCTAAACCCATTATTTCCTATTACCTTATATCCTATCAAATAAATATTATGTTAATGTGACAAAATCTAATAGCTAAAATTTAAGATTTGTCTCCTCTTAGCTAGATAAGGAAATTCAGGAAAATAAACTCCTGCTTGTAACCCGTACAGATGGACCCAAGTAGTGTGTAACCAGATGTCTCTCTTGGAATTCGATAAAGACTACCATTTCCATTGTCAGTTAGATATAACTGCCAGTAATTCTGACAGCTGTTAGTTTGCTAGACTGCCCAGCTTGTTACACTAGTCATATGTACTCTATAAATATTGTATTGTATCATTTCTTTTTAGACATGAATGAATAGTATTACGACCACTTTTTCTCTCTGAATTCTTTCCATATTATAGTATCTAGAGCTTGAGAAAGTTTCACATGGCTATCAATCCTATGCCTCCAAGCTCGTTGTTGACATTGTAAACAAGCCAACTTTTCTGCCAACATCACCTCTATAGGAAGAGCCATACTTTTTAAGCCTCATGCTTTGACCTTAGGCTAACCTCAGAGCCCACCACAAAGTTCTAACAATTTGTTAGGATCATTGAACCCTATTATAACTTCAAATTCACTTCTATCCAATTACAGAAGCATTGGATGACGAGAACTATCCTGTGTGAAAGCAGCAGAAGAAACCTATGCTTCATGGCCACAAGCTTCATAAGTTTCTTCTCAATCGACAAGTCCAATCAAGGTATCTAAAGCAAACTGTAATGCTGATTGGAAATTAGATATTGATGATAAACGTTTCACATTTAGTGTCTGTGTCTTTTTGGAGCTAACCTTTATTTCATGGTGGTCCGAAAAGCAATTTGACCATAGCTGCTGCTGAACTCTAATGGTGAAATCTCTACTCCATGAGCTTCAAGTTCAACTCTCTACACCTTCCATATTTTGTGAGAAAGAAATGTTGCTCTTGTCCAACATCCTGTGTTACATGCATGCACGCATGCACCAAACATGATTAAGCCTCTTCAAGTTTTTGGTATTGCTGCCTAAGACGGGATCAATGAGTGCTAACCATATAGCTTTCAAAGACCAGATTCTGCTTGCAGACAAATTCAGAGGGCTCGGAATCCCCTACAACTTCATCCACCGAGTTTGAGGTAGGAATAATATACATAAATAGGTGATAACCAAAACAATATTTAGAACGCTCAATACCATACATTTTTCATTCATATTGTCAGAGATCTCACATTGATTGGAGATATAACAAAATAGTATAAGTGGTAGCTAAACCTACCATTTTAAGTTAGATTTTGAAGTTAATTTGGCTCCAAGCCCAAACTATAAACTGGAATCGAAGTCAATCTATGCAATTATTATTGGGCCTATCGACCCAACGCAGCCACAAATGTCCAATACTAACATCTTATGCTCAAGATGTCCAATCATCGGGTATTAAAATCAGACATTGACTAGTAATATAACCAAAATAGTGTATATAAATAAAAGACAACTCTCATCGCTTTAGCTAGTTTAACTGGGGATGAGTTAAGTTAAAATCCAAACCACAAGGTATATCATATATCTCTAATATAGCCTTTTTGACGATAGATGTTGTTAGAATATTTACCCTATTTATCATGATTATATTGTGTCTAGGGTTACCCTATTTATCATGATTATATTGTGTCTAGGATTACCCTATTTATCATGATTATATTGTGTCTAGGGTTACCCTATTTATTATATTGTGTCTAGGGTTACCTTATTTATCATAATTATATTGTGTCTAAGGTTACCCTAATTATCATGTACTCATATCAATTTATTTTTATAAATAGAAGATTATGAGAGGGATCAATTAAGCCCTCAAGAATTATTTTACAGTTTAATTTCCAAGTTGGTATCAGAGCAGGTTGTCTGAGTCTCTTCCTATTGTCTTTGTTGCCGCTAGTGGCCTGCGGCTACCGCCACCAACAGCCTTAAAAATTTCATTTTTTATGAAATACATCAATGAGCAGTCTTGTTCTAGTTTCTGTC